TTTTTTAATTCAAAAAGATTTACAATATTACTTTGGTTTCTGAAGCTTTTTTCCAGTTCTTTAATTTGATTCTATAATGAGGGCCACCAAGCGGCATCTAAACAAATCTAAAAATTAAAATGTGTCATTTAAATGTAACCAAAAAGAGCTGAGAATTTTAGCCTTATTTAATTTCTTTGGCTTGTTTTGCAAGAAATGTTCCACTGTTTTATTTTAGCCTTTAAGTAAAATAACTTCATCATATCTAACCTGTTTTAACTTTCAAATAAAACCAAGTATTATACTTCTCACCTGCAGTATTGTTAATTACACTGGCTCTTACTTGACAGCAGGATTTACTCCAGCCACTGAAATCAGCAACTGCCACAGCAGCATGTCTGACCCCCCCTCCCCCCGCCTTGAGGCACACCACGCTCCGTGCTCACTAACCAAAATGTCCACTGCTATGACAGTTGAGGAATTAAACATAACAAAACAAAAAACTAATTCTCACTGAATTGCCATTGTACAAATAAAACAAGAAATTAAAATACTGAGGGCTGCCTGAAGACAAGGAAAGACAGAAATGAGCTAAGAAAATATCTAGTAATGAAAAGAGACAGATAGAAAATATAGATTTATTCGGGCCCTTTCTCTTTATTAGCTGTATTGGAAAAGTCACTCAAATTTTGAGGTCTCTGTTTCCTCACCTGTAAAACAAGAGTTTTCAACCTGATGATCTATCTTAAGGTCTTTTTAGCTATAAAACTCTATGATTCTATAACAATGGGGAAAAAATCCTAAAAAATAAAATAAAATAAAATAAAATAAAATAAAATAAAATAAAATAAAATAAAATAAAATAAAATAAAATAAAATAAAATGAAGAGGTGATAGAGTGTGTGTAAAAGCATCTGTTCTTTCCACTCTTTTCCCATGTTCATAACTTCTACAAATCACTACTCAGAATGGGCAGATACAGATTCTCCTAATACAGCTCACTTGCTAAAATCTTGTTCCTTCATTCAGAGAGTTCATGAAATCCTGTGGAATCTATTCCTGAAAAACCACATGAACACAGAGCTAAACTTCCTTAACCTAATGCCTAAAACTGAAACCACAAATATCTTCCTTCATTTCTGTCACTAAAGTACTTGCCACAAATACGATGTAAACTTGTTCAAGCCAGGAAGTTTTAATTTTATAGATTCTATGTCAATAAATTTGCCAGAAAAACAAAATGACAAGGAAAAAACAAATGGGGAATGGAAATTTTGAGAAGTCAATATATTTCATTAAAATATTGCATTTGTGTTAAAATTATTAAGTAAATAATTCAATGAAAAAGCAACAGGAGTTGGATGTGTATTTACTTCACAGACTTCAGTATTAATGACTTTGATGCATTATCACAAGCCAGCCAAGGGATTAGCCTCAGTTTCCAAATTTGAATCAAAAGCCAGAATAAAGACAGTTGTACATAGCACTTGGTTAAGTACTGAACTATAAAACCAGAAGTTTGAGTAATTTCAATGTACTGCTATCAAAGAAGATAATCTCTTGGTGACTCAATGGTTTTACATTGTGAAATAAGGAAAATGAATATCTTTTAATCTACACAAAAGCACATTAAGCACACAAAAATTCCCTATAAAATCGATCATATACAAAAAATTATAATGCCTGTTTCAGCCTATTTAGCAGTTATTACTATAGGGTCTTCTGCAGATAGGAGTTTTCAACTGTATTATTTTCCCAAGCATCTGTTAAAAATTTTGCATATAAGAACCTAAAATCACATTAGTTAACTGGCTGTAACCTACAATAAATGAAATGTTAGCTTGACAGAGAATCCCAATTTAAAAGCCAAAAGTGGGGCGCCTGGGTGGCTTAGTCGGTTAAGCGTCCAACTTTCGCTTAGGTCATGATCTTGCGGTTCGTGGGTTCGAGCCCCACGTCGGGCTCTGTGCTGACTGCCAGCTCAGAGCTTGGAGCCTGTTTCAGAGTCTGTGACTCCCTCTCTCTCTGACCCTCCCCTGCTCACGCTGTCTCTCTCTCTCTCGCCTAGAAATAAATAAAACATTAAAAAAAATTTTTAAAGCCAAAAGTATATTTTTGAGATTTGACACATGGAGGCTAATGTGAAATACTTAAGGTACAAAAGATACATCTGAATTACACTTTACTACCGGGTAAGGATTTACAACATCTTTCAAACCTGGAAGAAGCACAGGCAATTTTATAGTAGATCACAGCCAAAAGAGTGTCACGACAAATCCTGAAAGCCTGTACCTTTAATTCCTAATAAGCTTATGTGATTCACTGACAAGCCTGAACCTTTAATTTCTAATATGCTTAGGCAATTAGGTTGTGCTGGTGATGTACAACCAGGAAATGCTGATAGAGGTGGTTGGTACCTGCCACCTAATAACGCTGAAAAACAGACCAGGTAAACACACTTCCATTCTCAGATTCACCTCTCCCATCCTCTCCCACAGAAAAAGTGCCACTAACTTGCATTCTTTCTATACCAGAAAAGTATACCTTTAGCTTTTCCTAACCTCTTTCCTCCTTCAGAGCTATCTTTGCTCACACTTATTTTGATAGTTTCAATTATATAAAACAGTAATGTGTAAAAATTACACAATCTCCAGCTGTAATATGCTCTGCTCATGCAGACCCTAAAAATACAGAGATTCCTCTCACGCATGTTGTCCATCATGCAGAATTTCCCAAGAAAAATAGTAAGCTCCTCTTCAGATACTTAGTAGGAAAAAACACAAAACAAAACTATTTTATCAGAGAGCTAATGCTTGCATAAATTTATTTCTTTACAAGTTGACATTTCTCCTTCTCTACTGCATTTCTCTTGGATCCATTTTTGCTCAGTAATTGCCATCTATTAACACTTCAATTTTTAATGTTTACTTACTTTTGAGAGAGAAAGAAAAAGAGAGAGAGGAGACAGAATGCAAGCAGGGGGAGGGGCAGAGAGAGAGGGAAACAGAATCTGAAGCAGGTTCCAGGCTCTGAGCTGTCAGCACAGAGCCCGACACAGGGCTCGAACTCACAAACCTCAAGATCATGACCTGGGCCAAAGTCAGACGCTTAACCGACTTAGCCACCCAGGTGCCCAGGATCCATTAACTCTTAAAAGTTATCAGCCAGGCTGTCTGTGTTAGGTAGCCTTGCGGATGGCCCCCAGAGATCCTTGCATCCTGGAACTGGTGCCCTTACATAATCTTCTCTACACTGACTTTTGGTTGGATTTACTGAGTCACTTCTACTTAATAGGACAGTAGTGATGAAATACCACTTCAGAGATTAGGTTATAAAAACGACTGACATTCTTGAGTGCTCTCCATTCAACTGCCCACCCTATGGGAAATCAGCTACCATCCTGTAAGGCAAGTCTATGGGAAAGGCCATGTGGTGGAGAGCCTAAGCCTGTCAACAGCCATGTGAGTGCGAGTATAAGCATGTAAGCCGACCCTCCTACCCCTCAGGGAAACCTTCAGATGAGATCAGTCCCCAACTATAGCCTGACTACAAACTCATGAAAGACCTTGATCTGAGAGGCTCTCCACCTAGCTGTAACCTAAGTTCTGACCCACAGAAACTGAAATAATGTTTATTCTTTTAAGCTGCTAAATTTGAGTAATTTGTTACTAAGCAATAGATAACTAATATAGTATCTCATCAGACAAAATATCAAGTTAAAGTGAATAAAATCAGCAAGTTTTTTACTCAACTTGAAAAACAGAATAAATTTTTTTCTACATTCTCAGATCTGCTCACTTTTGTAAGCCATTTTGTTAGGGGGGTAAAAAACCTCCTGTCTCATAAATATGGTTACCAAATCCCAAATATTAAAAGGAAAGCTGAAATGGAAAACATACATTTAATTTCACTTTGCAGTAATAAGATCATGATATGTTGAACTGGAGAGAAACAGCTAAGATCATTGAAAATAAAAATTCAACTTGTTAAAAACAAGTTGACTCCCTTATTAAATTACTAACCACATACAGAACCTAAAAATATCAAAAAAGTTCAACGAGGATCGGAATTATTTTATGTAATTTCACCTAATCATATTATATTGAAACTCCCACCATAAGAGAGTACAGATTAAAAACGTGCCAAATTTATAACACAAGTCTGACTGCTGAAGCAATTGGCAAATCCATCATAACCTAAACTAACAAGTGTTTGCATTCACATTACTAAAAAGTAAATAAAGAACAGAAGACTGTACCTATGCATTAAGAAACCACTATCTGAAAAAGCAATACTTGGGCTAAAAAAGAGTATTCCTTTCCATTTCTTGCATTTATTTCATGATGAGGCCGGGTCACCACCTGGGGTCCCAAGTTCACCTATATACTCCAGTGGGCTAGAAACATAAGGAACACACCTACTCCCGCCTCTTGATACGGATTCCACATTTTAATAAGCTATCACGGCTGTCGCTCAAAATGCTGTGCACGGCTATTGGTCCCAAAGTCTTGCTGGTTGGCAAGTTTCTGCCAACTGGCAAGCACCCGTTGTCTATTCCCGAGAAGAAAAGTAAAGGTATGCAGAGAAGAGAAGCAACTGCTCTGGTATATCTAGGCTGATGCTTGTACCTGAGCGACCTGCGATCCCACCGCCGCCGCGACGAATCGGTCTCTGGGCGGGGGCTTTTTTAAGTCACAAAGAAAATGGCTCAGCCGGGAACTGATGCCCAGGCCATGGAGTTCCAACTTTACTTGTTGACGCCGGTAGAGGTGACAGCAGTAAGAATACCAGAAGCAGCCCAGGATTCCTCTGAACTCAGCGCGCCTCAAGCTGCAGCAGCCAGAGCAGCGGTCTGCCCGACTTTTGACGTTTCCTATTGTTGCCGGAAGTGACGTTCGGGTTCTGAGCATTTAAAAAGAAGCATTTTTATCCCCGATGTTTATGATTCGCCATAGATTCCCTGTTTCTCGCCTAGCAGCCCGAGCCACTCTGAGCTTCTACGCTAGACAGATTTTTAATCCGTAATTTGGGATTGGACCGGCCGTTGAAAAGCCTCTCAGCAGAGTCAATCACTTCAGAAGTCTGGACAAATGTAGTGTGGAATCTGCAGCGAGGAATCGTGAAGCACTTAGGAGCCGGCAGCTTTGAAGGGCTTGCCAGGCGCGTGGCGGGCCGCGACCCACTGTTTAAATACAAACGGTCGGCGCGAGGGGTGCGCCTCAGTGCAGGCGTCGGGCCACAGAGACGCGTTGCTGGAGGCTGGTATCCACGGGCTACCTCTGGTCGCGTATGCTACCTCCCCCTGTCCCTGCTGTGTGGGGCCCGAGGCCTTCGAGGCCCACTTGTTTGCTTGGCGGCTGCTGAGGAGGCTGGCGAGGCTGCGCCCCAGGTTAAGCCGGGGAAGCCTCTCTCCTGCTGCCCTTAGCGAAACCACCGGCGGGAGCGCATGACCAGGTCTGCCTTTTCATCCTTTTAAATCAAATGGGGGGAGGAGAACCCATGTTTATATACTCAAGTGGCATATCCTTATGATAAACCGCGAAGTTGGAAAAATCGCGGTAGCTAATTCTCTCAGGTTAGGTTGTGGTTTAGCGTTTGGGCTGGGAAGGTAGAGACACATTCCTTCATTAGGATCCGATGAGACCGGATCCGACTCCTCCGAAAGGCTCACTGGAATAAAGAGGTGAAAGTGGTTGGAGTTTTCCTTGCTCGCATTTCCCTGGGTTTCCGTATCCTTGTAGATAACTTACGATTTTTTCCCCTCATTGAAAATACTGGTCTTGGCGTTTTGATTGCGAAATTATGGGTACGCTATTTTTCTAAAACGATCCACAAGTATTCTGACAGTTGTAACTATGAACACAGCAGTCCTCCAGAGCTCTATTCTTGTTCCGTACTCCCTGGTTTTCTCCCAGTTTTCTTTGTGTTTTCCCTTTCCAGACTTTTCTCCCTATGTTTTAGCGCAGTATTTCCCCTAGTATCTTTTGCTAAAATTTCATAAACCTAACTTTTCCTCACAGTAGACTCCTCTTTTTATTTTTGCTTTACGGTTTTAGATACTATCAAGTGTTATAAGCTATCTCACAAACTCTTAGCCGTGGACCGTGAGCGTTAAAGTCCGTGTACTTGTTCATTCTGAACAAAAATCACTGAGCTCAATAGCGTTCCATTGGGAGGCATCATTTAACACCTCTAATAGCAATGAGATTAAGCTAGATTAAAAATCATAAACTGCTGTCTATACTGTTTTCACCACCTTTCTCCCAATAAGTTTAGTTGTGGGGCAGATCTGACTTCTAGAGAAACTCCCTGGAGTATGCTAAGAAGCAGTACTGAGTCCATCTTAATGGTTGAATTTGGGCTACAATAGCAGAGTAATAGCTCCTTTTGGTTAATTTCTTTTGTTAAAGGTTATAAATCTAAAATGTTAGCAATTTTTAAAGAAGTACGTTTTTTCATTTCTGGAAGTACTATGCTAAAACTGTGATTAAGTTATAGATTGGCTTCTTTTAATATCCTAATTTCAGTGTTTTTCGTTTTTTAATAGATTTAGCAGTCTTTCATGACAATGTAGAGCAGTAGCTGTGATTTTTTTGTGTGTGTAATACTCACAATTTTTTATCCCTGTATTTTTTCTGTCCTGTTTTATTAGTTCTCTCCTTCACCTACAGATCCAACCTGTACTTGTATCTTACTCTTCAAAATATTTATTCTGCTGGTACTGAAGAGGATGTGTTCCAAGGACATACTTTGTTGTCAGAAATTCCATTTTCAGAGGTAGAAATAATATGAGACATTGATATGTTCCAGGACTTCAGAGAAAGGAAAGATACAAAATGTTTAAAAAAAAAAAAAAAGCAAAATGACATGTAGTAGAAAAATGGAATATACATCTAGAAGAATTAAAGGAAGTCTTCGGGAAGAGATATAATTTATATTAAGGTTATAGAATGTCTTAGAAGGTAATGTTACCCGAAGAATCATATAAAGATAGGTGGGCCTAGAGCTTAATGCAATACTATTTTGGCCTGTATAGTACCTAAGAATATATAGTCTTTGCAGTTATAAGATTAGTCACCACTTCATCTTTCCCAGTAAATGCTGGACTTAGGAAGTCATCTCTCTTACTGCTTCCCTATGTCCATCTATTCCCTAGTCATCCTAAAAGATGTTAAGTAAGGTTTATTTTCTTGGCCAATATTTTATATAATGTGATTTCAGGATCACTTCCTCTTTTTCTGGTTATCTTTCATTTCATGGTACCTGAAATTCCCTTTGCCTAAAAATGTAAATATTTAGAAGTAATTGATTGGCTAGAAAATGCAAACTGAAATCCAAGCATGAGTGTATAAAATTGTATTCCACAATATCTTATTTACCGTGTTGCTAAAGGAAGTCTTGCAGTAAAAAGTTACTGTGTTCCTAAAGCTGGGACCTGGAAGGGTACAGAATTGTTACTACATTCCTAAAGGGGGGAGGGGGAAGGTACAGAATTGTGTGGCTAGGGACTTAAAATAGAAAGTCTAAATTTAGAAATTTGCAAATTGATTGCCTTATTACCTCTAGTTATGCATAGACACAGAGAAAGTGTGTAAGATGTTTTGTATCCTGGGCAACTTGCTGGAATGTTGACTGGGGGGAAGGGGGGAAGACTATACTATTCTCTACCTGATTTATAAATTGTTCTGTTTTTAATGTAATGACTTCATTTTAAAGGAGCTTCATTTCCAGAGGATTCATTATTCAAGGTATTGTTATATATTTTCCTTCTATGAAGTGACCATGGACAGTTTATTTTTACCTGCCTTATTGACCTTTGCCTTACTGATTGCTTATAGTTTAGGAGCCTTTTAGGTCTTTCTAGTAAAGGTTCATAAACATTTAATTATTTATTATATGAATCTTTTTTGGGAATAATCTTTTTCAAGAATCTAATGAAAGCCCTACAACTATGTAATGAGTCATTTAAAAATATAATTACATATTTTCTTCAAGATTTACAATAATGAGCTACTTTATTTAAAATCTCAAATACTGTTCTAGTGTTTTGGTGCACATATATACACACATACTGGTTTTTGACATATGTATTTTCTGGAGTTGTATTCCTATTTCATAAGCCCCGTATATGTCAACCTTAGTAGATATCGCCATTAAGTTTTCCTAAGCAGTGGTACCAATTTACCCTTTCATAGCACTGTGTTTCAGATGTTCTACAGTGTCTCATTTTGGGCTTACTTTGATATTTCCTAATACTGAATGTGATGAAATGTTTTTCATGTCAACTATTTTGTAAAGTTCCCGTTCAGGTCTCTTTCCCTTTTTCCTATTGAGTTGTCTTTCTTTTTCTTATTGCTTTGAAGGAAATTCTTTACTATGTATTTTAGATATGCATCTTTTTGTTGGTTTTACATTACCCACAACATCACTTTCTCTCAATAGTTTGTCTTTCCACTCTCAAGGGTCTTTTGATGAACAGATTTGCTAATTTTAATCTGGTTCATTTTACTAGTCATTAAGATTAGAAATCTTTTGGGGCTCCTGGGTGGCTCAGTTGGTTAAGCATCGACTTTGGATCAAGTCATGATCTCATAGTTTTCAAGTCCTGCTTCGGAGTCTGTGCTGACAGCTCAGAGCCTAAAGACTGGTTTGGATTCTGTGTCTCCTCCTCTCTCTACCCCTCCCCCACTTGCACGCTTTCTCATTCTCTCTAAAAAATAAAATAAACCTTGAAAATTTTTTTTAAAAGATGAGAAATCTTTCTCTATCTGAAGATCAAAGATATTCTCCTCTATGATCTCTAGCAAGCCTGGGTGTCTTACATTTTTATGTTTATATCTTCAACAAACCTAGAATTTGGTAAAATATGTGAAGTACCATTTACATCAAGAGGTCAAGATTTATTTAATCTCTCTGGATATTAAATTGACATAGACTGTTTATGGGGAAAAAAAATCCTTTCTCCAGCATTCCTGGAGCATCAACTTTGTTATTATTCTAGTGTCAATATATGCATGGTCATTCTTCTGAACTTTTCTATTCCATTTTTCTATTTGTATATATTTTCACTAATTCTAAATTTAAGTTATATAATAAGTTTTCATATCCAGTGGTTAGGTGGTTAGTTTGATTACTTGATTATTTTCAAGATTGTGTGAGTTATCCTTTTCTTTTTGCACTTGTATATACATTTTCAAATCATAGTTTCTACCAAAAAATCCTTTAGATATTTTTTTGAGGGAGGGAGGTAGAATGCATTGAGTCTATGGATCAATTTTTTGAGTCTTCCAATCCTTAAACAAGGTAAATACTTTTTCTATTTAGGGCCTCTTTAATATATCTGAATAAAATTTTATAGGTTTTTTTTATTTGAAGTCTAACATCTATTCTAGAGTTATTCACATATTTATGATATTTGTGGTTACTTGATTTCTACGTATACAACTTTTAATATAAAATTTTTAACTGAGGAATATAGAGAAATACAACTGGTTTTTATGTATTGGCCTTGTACCCAGCAACCATCCTAAATTCAATTACTTTTTGTATTTTTTATATGCAATTATGTCATCTGTAAATAGTGACATTTTTATTTTCTTTAGTCTTTATTCCTTTTACTTCTTCTTGCATTTTTGTACTATCCATGACCTCTAGTTTAATGTGAAAGAGAAATGATGAGAGTGTACAAGCTTGCCTCATTCCCAGTCTCAGCAAGAAAGCTTCCAGTTTCAGCATCAAATATGATGTTTGCATACCTTTTTTTTTTTTGGTAGATATCCTTGATCAAATGCTGCCGGTTCTTCTCTATTCCTAATGTCCTAAGTATTATATCATTAATGAATGTTGAATTTTATGAAATGCCTGTTCCACATACATTTAAATGATAACACTTTTCTCCTTTATTTGTTGATACATCGAACTGTAGTAATTCAGTTTTTGTGTTGCTCATACTTTGCATTTAATCCAGTATTATTACATTAATTTTGTCATTCAGAGAGTTTCACCTTTGACCACTGGGAACTGTTTCATTTGTCTCCTGTGTCCTTTTGACATACCCCCACCAATTTGGGGTTGTTTTGTTTTCTGTATACTTTCTTTCCGGAACTATATCAAGCTTCAGGGTCATCTTACACATTTTCTATCCCAGAATTGACCATTTCTCCAGGGAGGCCTGTTTCCTTTTACTGGAGAACAATGTTACCCACCAAGACCTGAACGGTGTGTGTGCTCTTTACTGCTGGAGTGTTCTTGCTTTCCATCACTTTCTGCTGGCAGAGAAATGAAATGTGTATGCCAAGTTGTCTATATACACATATCTTGAAATACTTCAATATATAACTATCTGTGGCTATATTAAGCTAAACATGAGTTCATCATACTGATGTTTCTCACTAATCCATGAGGCAAGCATGGCTCATTCTAGTCTCTTCTCCTTGCTAGTCTGTAAATTCCCACTCCAGCAGTAAGAAACCAGACTTCTATTTTACCATCTATTTACTTAATTGCTCAATTCCAGTGTTTACGCATAGAAGTATCAGGATTACCTCATAAGTCCTTGGGAAACAACTTATAAACTAGGATAGAGTGTTTACATGCAGTTAATTTGTCTTTAGTCTCACAAGCTCCACTCATTTTCAGTTAGCACCTTTTCCACCCATTGCCTTCTATGAGGTTGTTTCACACATTGGTAATATAGTTATATTCTCTTGTCACAGTCTGTGTTCTTCCCTGGGGTTTCCTAGCTTTTATGTGGTTTTTTAAGGTCACGTACGCCAGGGTTTTCTTTGTGCTTGATAGTTTTATAGGTTTTGATAAATGCATAATGTCATGTATCTACTAGTACAGTATAACACAGAATAGTTTCAGCACCCTAAAAAATTCCCCTATATTTACTTATTCACACCTGTCTTCTTCCTTCTGAATCCTTGGAAACCACTGATCTCTATAGTTTTTATTTTCACTTCTGTTTTGCCTTTTCCACAATGCTATTTAATTAAAATCATATAGTATGTAGCTTTTTCAGAAGGTTTCTTTCACCTAGAAAGATGCATTAAGGTCCATCCATATCTTCCTGTCATTTTACTGCTCATTTATTTTTATTGCTGAATAAATATCCCATTGTATGGATGTACCACATTTTTTTTTCATCCATTCACTTATTGATGGAAAGCTTGGCTGCTTTCATTTTTTGGTAATTATGAATAGGACTGCTGTAAAATTCAGGCACAGGATGTTATATGTACGTGTGTTTTCAATTCACTTTGGTGAGAACCTTGTTAGCATGATTGCTGATTGTATGGTAAGACTACGTTTAGTTTTGTATCTGCTGAACTGTCTTCCAAAATGACTAATAGCAATAAGTGAGTTTCTTTTGTTTGTTATCTTCATAAGCATTTGGTATCACCATTTTTTTTTTTTTTTGGATTCTAGTCATTATAATAGGTGTTTGTTGGTATCTTTTGTTTTTCAATGTGCCATAATTTAATGCTATATAATACTGAGTGTCTTTTCTTATATGCTTATTGTCATCTTTATATCTTCTTTGGTGAGGTGTATGTTCAGATATCTGGCCTATTTTTTAATTGGTTAGGGTTTTTTTCTTATTCTTCCAAGAGTTCTTTGTACATTTTTGAAACACTTTTATTCAATATTTGTTTTGTAAATATTCTCTACCAGTCTGTGGACTGTCTTTTTGTTCTCTGATAATGTCTTTTATAGAACAGTTTTAAATTTTAATGAAGTACAACTTTTTTTTTTTCTTCAATTTATTGATTGTGTTCTGATACTATATAACTCATTGCTAAACCTGGGGAAACAGAGAGGTAGTTGCCTAGCTGAACAAATTATGGTGGGGAGTGGGGGGGGGTAAAAATCTAGGTTTAGCAGCTCCTTACATGAACTTTCAAATAATCATCCATATTTCAACCCCCTTGGCCTTACCCCTTAGTCTTTCCTAAATATTACGGGCTCCTCATTTCTAAAAATATCTTGTTGCTGTTGGTTTCCTTCTAAATAGATGGATAGGATTAACCTGTTTCTGCTCTGCTGGGCTGGTTATCACTCATTAATCTGCTTTCAGTCTTCCAAAATTTTGTTGGTACTTCTGTCATATGGAATCCCCTCTAGTGCATTTTGCCCTGTTGAGTATACATGGTTTTTGGTCATCTACTTATTTTAGTGGTGTTGCAAGAAAAGAAATGAAGATAACATGCCCTTAATCAGCCACATTTTACCAGCTGAATCCTGAATCTTTTTTAACTAGTCATTTTATTTTTTAAGCAAAGCATCCTGTTGGCGACTATGTGAGGTCAAAACCCTGGGAGCAATGACTAAATCTGTGCTAAATTCTCATCTCCATTTTTTATGGATTTTATTATGTAACCTTTATAAGTATCTAAAATAGTCATTGGTGGAGATTATTTCAAGTTGATGTCTCTTCCCAAATGGCACTTTGTTCAAAATACAGTATTTGGTAGGGTATCACGAGACATATTTTAAAAATATGAACATAAGGGAAACATTTTTCTGTAAGGAAAAAATATTCAGGGTAAAAGCATATCTTAAATTCAGGAATAATATACTATTGATAGAGGGCAGTATTAGCGCTGGAGGAAAGTTAATACATTAGTGGAGAAATAGCTAAGGTAAATATGGTTAAGTGCCTATAAGGGATATAAATAAAATAGCAGATTCAGAAACAAACCTAACCAGTGTTTTATGGATTTTTCAATTTAGGTGAAAAATTAGATCATTTCAAAAGTTGGAGCTGAATATACTGTTAAATAATGGCAACCGGTGACTTAAAAAGAAGCTTACGGAACCTAGAACAAGTGCTTCGCTCGCTAAATTATCCTAAAGAGGTGGATTGTGTAGGGTAAGCTGTATATCAAAGTTATTTGTGCTCTTTTGGGCAATGACTTGAGGTAAGATTTGACATTGGGGAGTATATTTAAATAGACAGGTTTTATCTGGGTCCATTTAAAATTTTCCCTGTAATGTTTAAAATCTTTTAGAAAGCAAGTAACTACAGGAGGTTTTTTTGTTTGTTTTTACTAAGTATGAATTAATGAACTGTAGAACTTTTAAAGTCATAAGAATAAAATTACATTGGATCTCATCAATTATACAATCTTCTGTCCTCTCACATTCAGTTGGATGTTATTTCTTTCTGATTTGGAAGATTCTAGTTAATAGATTGCTTATGAGAACTTACACCATGCTCAAAGATTGTTACTAGGCTAAGTCATTTAATAGACCCCACTTTGAACCTTTTGCTTTAGTTTCTGCCTTTTCAGTTATTACTGACTTTCTTTGTAAAATGTAGCAATGTACATTTCTTCTGTATTCATGCTAATCTAATGGTACTTTTGTCATCTTCTGTTACATAATATTTCCTTTCTCTTCTTATCTAGGATTATTAATTAAAAATCCCCACTAGGGCTTCTGGGTGACCCAGTCATTTAAGTGTCTGACCTCTGCTCTGGTCATGATCTCACAGTTCATGAGTTTGAGCCCCATGTCAGACTCTGTGCTGACAGCTCTGAGCCTGGAGCGTGCCTCAGATTCTCTCTCTCTCTCTCTCTCTCTTTCTCTCTCTGTCTCACACACCCTTCCCTGCTCGCTCTTTCTCTTTCTGTCTCAAAAATAAATAAATATTTTTTTTAAGTTTTTTTAAATATTCCTCACTAGGATGTAACTGAAGTCTGGTACTTTGTTTTGTTTGCTGCAGTATCCCCACATCTAGAATTGTGCCTGGCACATATTAGTTGCTAAGTAGACATTTATTCAACAGGTGAGTGTCAGTGGACAAGTCCAGATTAGGTATGTGTTCAAGAAGTGTAGTGCAACTTGGTAAAAACAATAAAAAAGATCATCCTGGAGTAATGTGCTTTACATGTAAGAATGGATGTTCTGTTGGATACTGGGGAGACTTAACTCCAAGAGATGGCTACAAATGAAAGGATAGTGAAGAGAGTGGGGAAAAAGTTGAGCTCAAAGGACCTATTACAGGCCTTCTGTGTGAGAAGCAGAAGGTATTCCACAATATGTACTAATCATGTCTTGGTCCCTTAAACGGAAATTTATACTCTCTTGTCTTGCTGGGACTTCACTAGTTTGAAGAGCCAAGTTTTCTTACTACTTTTAAGCATCATTTTAAGATACATTTTGGATAGGAATACATCTAACGTATCTAACATAAACTGATAATTCTTATGTACTTCTAAAGCATACTGATAATTCCTCTGCCTTTTGAGGATAGTATTTAAACATTTGATTTTCTGACTGTTTCAGGAATATCATTAAGAACAATTAATTTTAGATTATTTCACAACATAGTAACTCTGCATGATCTATTGAGATTGATAACCCTACTTGCTACTGCTTATTCAAATTGCCCCCCTCACACTCATATACACTCCCCCCACACATATTTTGATTCTTTATTTCTTATACATTTTTCAAAAACTTTTTTTTCAGCATCTGATTTTTTTAGGGGTCAGTATGCCAGCTTGCAATATATGTTTTGTTACTATTTCTAAGCAAAGTCCTCAGAAACTAGATAACAAAGATTTTTGGGTTAAAACAAGAGGTATTAGGGTCACCTGGGTGGCTCAGTCATTTAAGCATCAGACTCTAAATCTTAGCTCAGGTCATGATCTCATTGTTTATGGGATCAAGCCCTGTGTTAGGCTCTGTGCTAACAGCATGGAGCCTGCTTGGAATTCTCTCTCCCTCTCTCTGCCCCTCCCCTGCACTCTCTCTGTCTCTCAAAATAAAATTACCTTTCAAAACCAAAAGCAAAAAACAAGAGGTATTAAATGTAGACCTGGCTGTCTTCTATGCATAACATTTGAACTAACAGTGTTGCCAGCAGTTTTCTCATTTGGTAAAATATTATACCTTTAAATATGAGAAATAATTTCTATTTGTCTTGGAAAATGAAATGTAACTTTAAAATTTTTTAAATGTTTTCATGTTTATTTTTGAGAGACAGTGAGAGACAAAGTGTGAGCTGGGGAGGGGCAGAGAGAGACACAGACAAAGAATCGGAAGCAGGCTCCAGGCTCTGAGCTGTTAGAACAGAATCCGATGCGGGGCTCGAACTCACAAACTGTGAGGATCATGACCTGAGCCTAAGTTGGATGCTTAACCGACTGAGCCACCCAAGTGCTCCAAAACATAATTTTAATACGTACTTGTTCTCTGCCTTTTTAAAAAATTTTGGGTGACGATGGAGAATTTTTTCTTGAGTTTTGTGGAAAAACGAATGTTTTGTGTAAGCACATTTTTACTTCAGTTTAACAGATGTAATTGACTAATTGAACAAATACCCCGTTTGCTTTGCTTTGGGAGAATCAGAGAAGGTATTTCACACTGATAAAATAATGCCCATGCGTAGACAAATAGAAAAGAGTACAAGACAAAAGCTGAAGCATCAAACACTGAATACCCTGGGACTCATTCTGGGAGAGATCAGTATAGATCAGAAAGTGGAGGATGGCTTTATGGATGGCTTGAAACTTGGCATATAATTCACAGCAAATAACAGATAAGTAGAAAAGAATGGGGTGCCTTTCTTGGGATACCTTCTGGACTGGAAGAATTAGCATAATCTACTAAGGCACAGATTTTTAGTTAGCTTAATATAAATGGAAGATGCAAACTGATTAGCCCAGTTACAGTTGATGCCCTTTCTAGCCCTATTTTCGTCTCTGTAATTAAGAATTCATAATATTTGACCTTTGCAGGTTTGTCATAAAGAGCAAGTGAGGGAATGTAACAAGTGTTTGCCAAACTGTAAAGTGTATTAGAGCACTGTAAGGTGGTACATTTGTTTAATCAGAGAAAATGGGCTGATCAAGTAAGGCTAAACTTTGGAAAATCAAATACTGTTACTAAAGTGCTGACTAATAAGTAAATACACGATTATTTCATAGCAATCTGGCGATGCTGAGTTAGAGTAGAAGATGGGATCATAAGAGTTTTGTGTCTCTCCTAATTATTTGGCTATGATGTTAATTTATAAATTGACATCTTATTTCCCTTCTTATCTCACTTTGTGGTATTGTGCTCCTTAAAACTCTTTTTCTTTTTCTTTCTAATAGTTTGGTAAAGGGAGATACAGCTGCATCTTTGCCCATCATCAGCTATTCCTTTACCTCATATTCACCTTATGTAGCAGAACTACTGGTGGAATCCAATATAGAGCTCATAGCGAAGAATGACTTGCGCTTTATAGATACTGTCTACAAGGTATTTGAGTTTGTAAAACATTATTTCAGAAGTCATGATTTTAAGATTAATGTTTTATCATAACTCTTTAAATATATGTACAGCATATATATTTGACAGCATTTTCATATGCATTTCTCTTTTAGACAGTCCCTATTATAATCAAGATATAATTTAAATTCCCTTTATGTTTTATATAATAAATTGCAGTTGGTAAACATTTGCCTTTGGTTACTATTTACTTTTTGTATCAAATTTTAGTAAAATTTGGCAGATTGGCATAAGTTTGAAATGTGACTACAGAGTAAATTGTGGCTTGTAGAATTATGAGTAGTTGTTGGTAAGAAGGAGCTACGGTTTTGAGATTTTATGTTCCTTGAGGTCTGGGACCACATCTTCTATCTACTCTAGTTTCTACACTTCTACTATACTGGGACTGAACTTAATCTCCTCCTTAATACCTTTTGATCATTATTATTACTCAAGTAGTGGTTATCTCAAAGTATTATTAAAATAATAAAACCAATTTGTCAAATCAAATATTTTTTAGAGTTTACATTTAATGAAATGGGATCTTTATGTATAGAGCCTCTGTTTTAATCTTCCCTGTCTTTACCTCTAATACCAGAAGCTTCCTTTAAAGCCTGAGGCATGTCTAAGAAATTCTCTGGTTCTACAGCATAGGATTTGAAAATTGGTGGTCTAGTTCGTCTGTTTCTCTCATTTTAGAATTGAAGCTCAGAGGCCTGCTGACTTGTCTAGGAAATCATGTAGTGGTAGGACTAAAATAATACAACTATGATTTTCTGATATCTGGTATACTCTTCTTTATTTTCTACTAAGTTAAGGAGTTTTTCTAGTACCTGTGAGGATATTTGAACCTTTTGATCGTTGGCTGTATTTTTAATCTCCCTGGACATGTATCTGTTCTCTGCTGCTTCCGAGGCACCTGTTTTCTACCTGGATACCTCTCCTACCTGGTGGTCCTGAGTACTACCATCCCTACAAATCTCTTTAGTACCTTGATCTAATGAATTGATCCTCCTTCTCAAAGGTGGTATTACATTCCTGACCAGGTGACCATTTATCATTTTGCATTTTGATCTATTTCCTCTTTACAGCTTCTTCGTGATCAATTTAATTATAAACCAATCTTGACAAAAAAGCAGTTTCTCCAATGCGGGTTTGCAGAATGGAAAATCCAAATTATTTGTGATATTTTGAATTGTGTGATGAAAAAGCACAAGGAATTGAGTAGTTTTGAGAAGGTAATTTTATTAATAGATTTTAACTTACTCTAAGTGGCCTGGTGTTTTAATGTATAAACTCAATACTCTAGATAGTCAACTAACATGTAAGTACAATTAACTACATCGTTCACAGTTTTAGGCAACCTTATGCCTAATGTTTCCTTTAAATACTGGTCACTTATGGGGCGCCTGGGTGGCTCAGGCTTAGTCGGTTAAACGTTCAGCTTTGACGCAGGTCATGATCTCACAGTTGGTGAGTTCAAACTCCCCGTCAGGCTCTGCACTAATAGTGCCTGTATGGAATTCTCTCTCCGCCTCTCCTCCACTCATGCTGTCTCTCAAAATTAACTTTTTTTGAGAAAAATGAGAGAGACTACAACTGAGGGTGTGTTGGGGGGGGCCAGTGGTGAGTTAAATGGATGGACCTTAAAAGAGGGCACCTTTGGGATGAGCCCTGGGTGTCATTATGTAAGAGATGAATCACTGGGTTGTATTCCTGAGGCCAAGACTACACTATATTCTAACTAATTTTAATTTAAATAAAAAAAAAAAAAAAGAGGTCATTCTTTGGAGTCAGATGGACCTGTTTTTACAAATTTGTGACCTTGAGCTACTAGCAAAGCTAACAGTTCAAACATAATACATTTTCCTTCTTAGTTTTCAAAAGACATATCTGACTAGATTCTTATTATTTGGTAGTCATATTTCACATATGAAAATTTAAATAATGTAATTTAAACATAATATAGTTTTAATATGTCAGCTTTCACATAAATTTAGTCTCAATACTTTTTTTTTTAGATTCCATCACAACAAAGAAAGAAAATCAGTTCTGTTAAGTCAGAATCTTCCTCAAGCACTGAGAAGACATCTACAGAATCTGTTGGCATTGATATCACTGGCAGGTTTATGACTTCGGGAAAGGTAGGAAGATACTAAGAAAATATGTAGGTGTTAAAGATGTATCTACCTAATTAATCAGATGTACAAGGTTCACTTTTCTGACTAGTAGCTGGTAAAGCATTTTTAGTCAGATATAGTTAAGGATTTTTTTTTATTTACATTTTTTTTTTTATTTTTTACATTTAGAGAGACGCAGAGCACAAGCAGGGAAGGGGCAGAGAGAGGGAGACACAGAATCCAAAGCAGGCTCCAGGCACCGAGCTGTCAGCACAGAGCCTGACGTGGGGCTCGAACCCACAACCATGAGATCTTGACCTGAGCTGAAGTTGGCTGTTCAACTGACTGAGCCACTCAGGTGCCGCTTGTTAAGGAGTTTTAACATTGTATACTGTATATTATCTGGAGAACAGTCCTCATATAAGATAGAAATGTAAAATTGAACAAGGTTTATTTTTACATTTCTATTTCCTAAATCTTCCTCATTTCCCAGGTAGAATAGCAATGATTTTGGGAGGTTGTATTATGTGGTCAAGACATATACTCTCATTTATGTATCTAGTGTTTCTAAAACATGGAAATGTATGAGGAGCACACCATTAGTTATAGTGATAGATTATGATGATTCATTTGCATAAATGCGTATCTCTGTAACAGGACAATATTATCCACAGGATTGATAGTCCCTAAACCTATAATCTGGTTTGGGGTCAAGTTTTTGTTTTTGTTTTTGTGTTTTTAGTATTTTCTCTTTGTTAATAAATACTTACCTACCCTTGTCTCCTTTGGCATTTGTGGCTGAATGAGTCCCATGCATTTAGAGAGAGATTTTCTATCTCCAAGAGAAATTGAATTCAAGGTGTTACTTTATAATGATCAGTATACTTTTACCTATCTTCCTTTTGGAGCAAACCATTTCTGAGACTAAAGAATAGAATATCAGATAAATAATCAATGTGTAATTAGATAAAGTGTGTGAATAGTTTCTGGTGGAAGTAAAATCAAGAGAATCTTTTCTTCCCAGTCCAATGTACGTGAGTTATAACAGAATGTATTAAAAGACTACTTCTATGCCTCTATAAAAAATACTGACATTTTACTGTAGGAAAAGCATTCTTATGTCACTAACTTTTCTTATCTAACTCTTGCTCATTTTATATGCTTTCATTTTCTAATTTTTAGGTGGCTTATATCTAGTATCTTTCCCCAATATATAAGCATTAATATAAACAAGAATTTTCTTATACCTTTTTAAAAATGTTTTTATTTATTGTGAAAGAGTGCATGCAAGTGGTGGAGGGGCAGAGTTAGAGGGTAGAATCCCAAGCCAGCTCCATGCTCAGTACAGACCCTGACCCAGTGCTCAGTCTCCCTAATCATGAGATCATGACCTGAGCCTAAGTCAAGTGTTGGACACTTACCTGAGCCATCCAGGCTCCCCTATACTGTTTTGTTTTGTTTTTTTAATGTTCCTGTTCTTTTACAGGCACTATAAGCACTTACTAAACATAAGCTGATATAACATATATTTTTCAGTCTTATGTTTCAGTTTTGGGGTTGAGTAGTAATAAGGTGCAAAATTTCACACCATTAGACTTATTTTTCTTAAGGTATTTTTTTGTTATTAATCAAATTTTAGTCAGTTACATCAGATCTTTATCAGAAACTTGAATAGTAAAAGTACTCCAGCTTAGAAGAGTTGGAATCAGTAAGTACATCCCTTTGTTTGCAGGTAGAGATTAAGTCAATACTGAAGCAAATTGTCTCTCTTCAGTGCCTTCTGTAAAGTGTGATTTGTGAATTCTATGTTACATCATATGACATGTTTATAGTGCACATGCAGTCCATCTAAAGTAAAGGCAGTAGGCAGGAGAGCCTTGTGTGAATGCATAGTTTGACCTAATGCCTTTCTCTCAGGACTTTTCTCATGATTAAGTTTGAATTGTTAGCAGAAGAGCTGATATTTTCCGGTTTGTTTAATAGAATAAACTTGTAATGGGTCCGGCTCATGGAGCCAGTTCTTGATTATTTATGGGAATTATGTGGCAGCCTTTTATGGAATGTTTCCAACATTTATAAAAGTAGTGATTCCCACTATCAGCAATTTATCAACCCTTTGTTAATCTTGTTTCATCTTTATTATAACCACTTTTCCAACATCTTCCCCACCAAATCTGAAACATTGTGAATCAAATCCCACATTATTGAATAGGTATTTCAGTTGGTCTCTTATTATGTAAGAATGCTCCAAAACTAATAACTATAATTTCGTCAGCACAAAATGTAACAGTTTAATCATTGCTTGATATATACCTTAATATTTTAAATGGTCATAAGTTTTAAAGGGAAGATAGTTCTACAAAATTACTATGTGTATGTTGAGAATAACTGTATGAGGAAAACACTGAAGCAGCTCTGTCATCATTTTCTCTATGCAGACAAAAGCTGTGGTGATCCGTCACCTGTATAATGAAGATGGTGTTAACATTCCTGAAGATATGATAAGTACAGTAACAGATGTTAGTGAAGCATTTGATGTGTGTGACTTAAAGACTACTGAAATAAAGATTCCTGAAGTAAAATTCCCTGAAATCAAGTCTGAACAACAAGTAAGAAGTTTGGACTTCTTTACCAGATGCCAGTATTTCTTACTTTGATATACATGATTACTTCATCACCTAAACTTTGGAATGTCTCTACTTTTTACATTATTACTCAACGACACCTTATTTAAGAATAAATAAGCCTGCTGTTTAAAATTCAGCAGATATTATTTGCTGCTTATGTTTAGGTTACAGGGCCAGATGCTATGCAAAGATGAATAAGACATAGTACTTTGCTTCAAGGAATTTAAAGTCTGGTTAGAAACAGATATACTGCTTTGTACAATGAAGGTTCTCTACCATCTGTCTCTTCCCCTCATTAATGAATAGAAAGAACTGGTACACACTCCATCCTACCATTTCATTTTCCTTGTTGGGCCCTTTTTTTTTTCCTTACTATCTTTTTCTCTTACTTTTAGAAAACATTTTCTATTACTTTATTGCCACAGACCCTATTATAGTGTCCAATCTATACTGCTTCTGCTAAACTTCCCTTTCTGTCTTCTATTTCTTGTAACTTCTATACATTGCAGTTTATAATTGGCATTTATAAAAACTACCACATGGTCATTAAGCTTATTTCCTGTTAATAGCAAACTGAACAGTTTCAATGCACTGTCATTTCTTGGTCATTTCCTCTTAGCTTTTGTGCTGGGTGCTGTTCTAAATAGCTAGTTAGTGATAGTTTTATTATACTACCAGGTGCTGTTCTAAGAGCTTCACGAAGAATTAATTTAATCCTCGCATGAGCTGTATGAAGTACATACTGTTGGGGATATACAGACATACACACACACACATGTAAGGTCATACACCTCAGAAAATGTAGGTTCATTGTCTCAGCTTTCTGCCCCTCTCTATATATAGATAGATGATAGATAGATAGACAGATAGATAGATACATACATACATACATACGTACACACACACACACACACACAAGATCATATACCTCAGAAGAGGTAATTTCAGTGTCTAGACATTCTGCCTCTACGGATCATACTCTTAACTCTCATGCTGTATTGCCTTTTGTAACTATTGAAATAACACATTTGAAATTGGAACACATTGATTTTTAAAGCGATTTCAGTTTGTGTGATACAATTTTCAACCTTTCTGATCATTTTAGGATATGAAAATTAATCCTGAGATTACTGCACTACAGACTATGCTTGCTGAATGCCAGGAAAAACTTAAGAAACTGACTTTGATAGAGAGTAGATTAGACTCTTTGGAAGAAAAAATGAAAGGAAAAGTGATGGTAAATGAAAAAACCTGGGCTAATCTTCTAAGTCGTGTCACTCTTCTTGAAACAGAAATGCTTTTGTCTAAAAAGGTATTTCCTATCCTTAACATTTATGGAATATCTCAGATACATTAAAGGTTTTATTCATTGTAAAGTGTGTATTCTTTCAGAAAAAAACAAATAAAAGAATATTTAGGTAATGGGAAAGTGTTTAGTTGAAATGAGGCCTCTTTAGGCCTATTTTCAACAAAAAAAAGCCTATTTTGTTGCTGCTATTGTGGTTATTGTTTTCCGCCTTAGCATCTGAAATAATCTTGCAAGCCTCTGTAGGTTCAGCTTTTAGAGCTGTTGATACTGGAAGCATTTAAAGTAAGGTATGATAATGTTTGATTCTTATCCAAAGCTTGAAATCACGTTCTTTAGTTGTGCAAATGTCCTTTTGTTATAAGGGGAAAAAAAGTGGATGCTACAAGAAAAATTAAAATTATGATTTCCTTTTCTTATATACATCAACCAATCTATAAATTTCACAGAAATAGTTACCAAATTTCCCATTGCCTTATGAAGTCTGAGAAATTTGTTTGGATTTACTTTGGATTTCAATTTCTGGTTCTAGTCTATCTTTCCTTCCTAGCATTAAAGTTAGTAGATTCAAGAATGTTATCTCTGCTTCCACATTCTAGTTATTTCATATTTATAGTGGCATTTATATGTTGCTTTATAAATAAGTAAAGATGTTTAAACATTTATCATGTTATCTTTTATTTTATGCTTAATAGTAAGAATATAAATGAGAAAACTTTTTATTTTAAATACTAAATTATATTATTCCAGAATGATGAATATATAAACCTTAGTCAAGTGAATGAAGACTATGAATCCAGTAATGACATGGATATTCTGAATTCTGGTAAGTTGTAATATTATGGCAGTGGTATTGGTGGTAAAGTAAGGAGTTTTCAGGAAGACGATTTTTACAGGTATTTGATAATATTCCCAAGCCTTTCTTTTTTGGACACTGTGAAACTCGTAGGAAAAAAGACAGTTATTGAAGTTATAGACTATGGAAGCCAAGGATTGCCTTAAAAAGCCGGCTTACATATCTTACACAAGGTAGTGGTTGAATAAAGCCCCGTGTATGAAATTGCAAACTTTTATACAGACATTTTATTTTATTCTTAATTGCTAAATACTGTAGAATAAAAATGGACCTCCAGAGTTTCCAATTTAAACTCATGATAGCTTCCACCTCTGTAAGTAATATATGTAAAAGAAAATATATTTGTCAGTAATCTATAATGAATTACAGACCTCTTGAATTTAATCAGTTAAACAATGATAAAGTCTTCTCCGTGACACTTAATTCCACTAGATTACTGACATTTTCATTGTGACTGAGCAGCAAGGCTAATATTTCTGGGCTGTTTTTCAGTAAGAGTTGTTATTTTTATTGTTAACACTTTTTGAATAGACAAAGGTTTAGATTTTGTCTTATGCCAATAATTAAATCATATTTGCTGAAGAGATATTTTGTCCAACTGAGAATTCATAGCAAAGTTACATTTTAAAATCTGTGGATGCTTAATATCACTAAATCTTTCAGCTACTCTGTATATAACAACAACACCAACATTGGAGTACTATGTTCCGGCACTGTCCTAACTGCTCTATTAACAAATTTAATTTTCAGAGCAAACATTTAAGTACTGTTATCATCCATATTTTACAGAAGAGGAAACTGAAGTACAGAGAGATTAAATAAATATGCCAAACACCACACAGCTATTGAATAATGGAGCATATTTTAATCTACGTAACTTGGCTCTGAAGTTTTCTCTTAACTGTGACATATTTAGTGTACATGTCAGTTTTATTGCAGGACAGTTTCAGTAATTAGATTATTGTATAATGATTTGAAGTGCTATTTCAGGCAATAAATGTATTAGACTACAAATTTCAGATTCGGTAAATGTTTCCACTTCACATTTATCATTCATTTGTTTATTTAACCAGCATCAAAGCTCAACTCTGAGATCCTTGAGATCAAGATCTTTGCCGTATGTTCTGCCTAGCAGACTGAAATTAGGTCTCTACTTCTATCTCCAGTATCTGTATATAATAGAGCTCTATTTTTTACATAGCGAAAGAATATTGAATGCCTGCTATTTGCAAAAGCTTGCCTTTTCCAAGTTTGGTTTTGCATATTCACAGTATAATTTTATTAACACTTTTTACCTTTAAACCATTGAGGTAACATATAGCCAAATTTAAGACAATGTACTAAGAGACTGATAAGCAGACAGGTCACTGTCTGAAATGGGTTGTAGATTACAAACAAGGTAAATATCTGGTCTCAAAAAATTTATAATCTGACAGTGATCAATTAAAAGAGTTAAGTTTATAGATTCTTACACTTTGTCCCTTAAATATGCATGCTACATGGAAGCAGAGAGTTGATTTTACTTAGAGGTTGAGAGCAATAATTCACCAATCTCATTTTAGGATTGTGTTAAATTGGGAATGGTTTTGGAGAAGTTTCAGATTTGTTTCCCTTTATCAGAAATAGTGTTTCCATGGGGAGCTGTAAGGCATTTCTGTGTCTGCTAAAAATCAGTGAGGAGAGGCTTTTATTATAAAGATTCGGCTTATACTGGGTGATTCTGGAGACTGTTTAAAGTGAGCATTCCTCTAGTTTGGATTCTATTAGGAAGCAAGAACAGTTTGATGAGTGATGATACTGAAATGAAGCTGAAATTTTCAGTGGAAAAGAAGCACTTATACTAGTCGGGAGAGCACTCTAGCTGGTCACTTGTGTGTTTGCTGCTCACATGGTGTCCTTATCTGTATTCAGATATGACCCATGAACAGTCTTGTTTTGTTTCATCAAGGTAATGAAGTGACCTCATATGATGGTTTTCTATGAACATAAATAATTATGTTCAGTTGGGGACACAGTGACCTAGTTGTTAATTATTGGATAGGCCATGACTATAAATGCTCTCTGTCTTTTGCTTGCTTTCTCTGTGCCTTTTTCCTCACAAGAAAAATGCTAATAAAGTTATTGCCACAAGAGTGTGGTTCCAGTATGACTAAAAGGAAGGGTATGTGTGGGCATATGAAGGAAGTTGAAACAGAAGAGTAGAAAGATAAAATCATGGAGTTTATGTGGGGTCATAGATTTTTAGCAAAGTAAATATCAGATTTATGTTTCAGAGAAATCATCTTAAAACAATATTCATTATAGGAAAGTAACACAGAAGGGCAGCAATTTGAAGGGTCTTTCAGACCTTTTATTTCAGAATAATGAGGGTGTCTACTAAGGCTATGATTGTAAGGATAAAGAAGAAATTAGTTAGAATGGATAGCGCTTGATTGCTGATACAAGTAGATGTGAATGAGAGAAAAAGTCAAAGCTGACCACTTGTATTTGACCTGTGTAATCAGATACATAGTTGCCACTCTTTAATACAATAGAGAATTAAGGAGAAAGTTGGGGAAAAATGAGTTCACTTTTGAAAATATGAAGTTATGTATGAATGCCTAAGACAAAATATCCAAAAATCAGTCAGACATATATTTTCCCTTGATTGGGAAGGGCTGGTTTACAAATTAGTTTTCAATTAGCTATTGGAAAGAAGAGCATTACCATGAAGCCTTTCATAAGCCTAAATGGCATAAAGCAAAGTAGTACCATTAATTTACAGGGAAAATTTTTTGAACATTCCCAGACCCAAATATAACTTTTCCTAGTTTTTTTTGATGCCTTAGGACACATCTTGCCAACGGATGCACAAAATAAATCGTGATAAAGCACAGTTGCTCACAGAAATTTATTGAAAACTGTGGCGGCTTGATGCTGAGATGCTGAGTATAGCTCCCAGGGAAGGAGCTTGGCAGGGCCACTCTGGCTGAGCAGAGTGTTTGATGCCTCTAAAATGTGCGGACAAGTGCTGAACGCTATTTTCATGTTTTGCCTTTAATCAACAAAGTGAAAATCGTCCTTGATTTCTTTTGGTTAGCAAAAACAGGTACTAATGTGGGTCTGTAAAAGCAGAATGGCATAATGATAAGTGGAAGCTACCTGTATAGTAAAATGGCAGAGGACCTAACTAGTTCTCTTAATACAGTAAGGTAATTCTCTAAAGTTGGCAATTAAAGATTAATGGCCATGGGGAGATTTGGCTGGAAAATCTAGATCTTAGAGATCCTCTTTCTTCACAGAGATCAGATGACTCTGAAACTCTAAAACAATAATGGCTCTAAGGACCACTACTCTCCCTTTTCTTTTCCTACCTGAACTTAGTTACCAAGTCTTTTCTCAATCTCCCATAGCACAGTTAAGAAGCCATTATGTTTAAACAAGGGAGACTATATACTAAAAAGACTTATGAAAGCAATAGGAAGATTTGTCACAGAAAATAATACATTGATCTGGCTATTAAAATATGGCTTGTGTTCTGTATATGCCCCATTCTGTAATCTCTGAAATGCCCTATATGGCTTTTCCAATAGCCCCCATAGCCTACCTAAAACCAGCTCTTTCCCAGTGTGAGGTATATACCCTTGAAGGCTAGATAGACACTTCCAAGTCTAGGCCCCAGAAAGCAGAGCAGAAAGCTGTTCCTTCACCTTCCATTCACTTTCCATTTTTGTCTTCCCACTTCGTATTTCCTGCCCTAGGACTTAAAACCACACTATTTTTGAATGGCTTAAAAAATGTTCAGCACTTTCCAAGGGTACTCATCTCTATCCATAGAATATAACCCAAGATTAGGGAATGGTAGATATAGTTCCTGCCTAATTTCAGGATATTCCCTGAAATTACGTATTGCCAACACCCCCTGCTAAAAGAGCTGGGTATAGCTAATCTTCAAAGTTACACCATGTAATCTTTGATCCCTGAGCTTGACCAGTTGCATCAAGATTAGACACCTAAAACAGAGAGTACCAGTCTAAAAGATGTTTAGCTGGGTCGTTTTCTCTCCCGTGGGAATTTGGAATTAGGATACTAAGTCAGTCAAATGATATTGAGCCTGGGCTAGGCTGGACATTTTCTTCAAGTTCATGCTGGTAAGTAAGCAGACAGATGGAGTAAATAGGTAAGAGAATTAGACAGAAGAGACTAGCTCTGTGTGAGATGAGAGTAAAAGTGTTTCCAGTTGTTTCAGTCCTCAAGTGTAATACTTTTTCCCTAATTGAGGTTGTCAGTGTAGGCTTACAATAAAACTATCTCTAAGTAAACCAGTTTAAATGGGTGTTTACCTTTTTTTTGGCCTTGGCCTTGATTTTGCAGTCCTATATATCTTGACTAAAACATAGGGCTAATGGGATTGATTTAATAGTAGCATGTCTTATAAGTTATGTTCTAGATCTGATTTAGTTGTAGGAAAGATTTGCCATCATTTTGTTGAATAAATGGTATTAGCATACAAGGTGGAAACTTGTTCAGTTCTATAGAAAAAAAAAATCTTTAAACCCTGAATTTTAAGCATTGTCTTTTCCATACATGTTAACTTAGAAGAGAATGTTTCTTGATGTTTCAAAAATATACTCAGCATTAGTAATAGTAGCTGATACTTAAAAATAAAATTATGAACTTGTCTTCTTATTCAGTTAATTCCTATCATGATAAAGGTAGTAGTACCTTTAATAATTTTTACTGACCAGGTTTTAACATCTAGATCTCTAGGTGTAGGCCATTATCTTTAAAGAATAATAAAAAATTATCTGGGTCAATATCAATAGCCATTTTATATTAAAATGTGTTTTTCTTCCATTTACACATAAAATGTTTAGATGTGACTCCACTGTGATGATAACCTAAATAGTAATTTCTCCACAGATAGGAAAGGCAAAGAGGAGCAGCAAACAAGTGTTCCTCTGTCCTCTGGTTATAGTACAGTGTCATCAAATTCAACTCCCACAACCTTGACGGCTTATTATTGCGGTTTGAAAACGAATACAGAGGTAAGAACAACTGGCAACTGCTTACATGATTTCCTTTCTAAGGTCAGTAGAACAAGCAAGCATTAGATTTGGTTGTAGATGCCATTGGCAAGAAAAATAGTGCAATTGTAAATCTTAATCTCTCGTAAAAATTCTTTATGATAAGTAAACAGTACTTAATGCAATGTTTTAGACTGTTTTATATGTTCATGGTCCATCTTTGATGATGGTCTGAGAAATCACCTAAATTTGTTGCTTTTTAAATTAAAGGAAACAACAATCCAGAAAATGGAAAGGATGAAAAAAATGTAAGTAACAGAAAGGGGCAACAGAAATTCATTTCTCTATAGGGAATTGTATTGGATTACAGTACATATAGAAAGTGCATATGTGTTTCAAACCTTAAAGGTCTCTCAATCAGGTGTGGAATTTCCTTCAGGACTCCAGTGGATAATAAATCCCCTTACAGTTATGTGTTTGTGAGATGAGTCACTGTTTTGGTTTCCAACAAGTGATGTAAAACATTGTTAATGGAATTAATTGTGTGATTAAACAGTGCAAAGATATTTTTGTTTGAAGTTGAAGTATTATCTACCTTTGATAACTGATTTATCAAAATATCAAATACATGTAGGTGGATGGTTTGGAGACATTTTAAGTATTGTTAAAGTATTGCTAGTCTTTCAGTTAATGGTAAAATAATACTAAAAATGATACTTGTTTCTTATACAAATATGAAATTCTGAAAGCAGTCAAAAGGAAATATGAAATGAACTTGTGTAAGATGATTATGCAGCATCCTACTTCAGTGAACTATATTGCTTTGAAATTTCATAAATACTAAAATAACTCATGCTCTAAGAATTAAAGCCTCATAATTGACTTTAGTTGCTATTTCTCCCCTGTGGCCATGATATACACTTAATTTATCATTTATACCTATAAATAAAAAAAGCACTGAAATTTGTTTTAGCCTCAAAAGCATAATCTCAGCCACTTAAACCCTATGCCTCATTATGAATTTTTATTTATTATTTATTTGTTATATTTCAGGTTTGAAGAAACTGCAGAGTTACTGAAATGTCCAAATCACTAATTATAGAATTTTCTGCATGAACTTCACTAGGACTTTGGCTACTGTACACATTGTATATTTTAAGAATTCTCTATAAATTTTAATATGCTGCAATATTTTTTATGAAGAATTTGAATTCCATTTGATATATGAGGTTTTTTTCAGTATTGAATAAATACTTAAATATTTTTATGCTATGATTACACTGCTTTACTCTGTTTTACTTTTTTAAGGAAAACTTACATGCCAGTACATTTCTTTTACAGAGTGAAGTCATTACAGCACTGTATTTTTGTGTTGACATTTGCTGGCAGCGTGCTAAGTAATATGTTTTCTAAAGTCGAGGCTTGCGGACTGTGGTTTACATCCTGTTGGAAACACTCCAGCTGGGACTTGCATATTGTACCCAGGAGGCTCTCATGCATACCATCTTGCCATCTGTCCTAACTAGGATGTTGTAATGAGAAATCAGAAATGCTCATTGAAAAAAAAAATACAATTTTAATGTTAATCAAAAAGCAGCAGTATGTTTTCAGTTAACACTGAGAAAATGAGGGTGTAACTCTCTTTTTGTATTTGGAAGCTGGTCAGAAAGTTCAGCATGAGAAATGTGCTGAGTATTTTAGAGCTCTACTCCACAGCACATTTTCAGACCAGCAGCACAGGCACAGATGGGGGCCTTTCAGTATACAAGACGCACAGTAAGGTTTTTGGGGTTTTTTTAGGTGATGGGAAGTTAGATGTTTTTCTAGAGAGAGAAAAAGTCTTAGATGAAATTAAATCAAGAGAAAACTGAAATTCACTTTAAATTCCTAGATAAATTACTAGAGAAATTACCTTTTTTTAACTTTATAAATTAAAAAAATGTAATAGCCCTGGCTAATTTTTAAGAAAAGTGATTCCATTATTGAGGAAAAAGGAGTATTGTTTTCTTTCTTATTATTATTTAATTATCTGATTTTATTTTATGTAGTCATCTGTTTATAGTCTATATGTGCAATTTGATATTTGTCACATGAAATATTACCGTTAGTTTAAATTCTGTGTGGAAATAACTAAGTGTTTTTAGTATTCTAATACATAGTATTTAGACTTGAAAATTTAAGAATTAAAGTTAGCCTACAACCTTAAAAACTAGTATTTAGAATTAGAAAAAGGCAGATATTTCTAGAATTAATTAATCCAATTTACCTTATTTTTTGAATTAGAAAAAATTTATAAAAAATCAAGATATCACAGTCATAAAAGAAAAAATACTGCTTTTATCTAAAATAATCAGTACCAGCATGGAATTATAGCACCACCTTGTGGCTCATATACCAGTATTTTACCTTTTATTAAAACAAGTGATTTCCCATATTTTATATTTTCTCTTTTGAGAAACTCAGTTCCAATTAAACGAACTTTTTCGAGTTTTCTTGTTTAAAACAGAAGAAATAAATTGGTCTCATTTTCTCTGTCTTTCTTCCCTCCCTGCCCTTGGCTGACACAGCACACATGTACCTTGGACCGTCGTGCAGCATACGTGTCCGCTGCCTGGAGCCGCCCAGGTACACGTTTGCGTGGATTTTTTATGGCCCACTATTGTAAATGTACGTTCTCTTCCTTACAATTTTCTTAGTGACGTTTTCTTTCCTTATTACAATACCGGGTATCATACCCCTAACATCAAAAAGGTGATATGTAGCATTATGTCATCAGTTGGAATTCTGGTCAACAGCAGGCTCTTAGTAGAGAAGTTTCTGAGGAGTCCAAACTTACATGCAGATTTTTGACTGCATGGAGGGTGGACTTCCCCAACACCCTTGTTCAAGAGTCAACTGTACATAACATCTAGATGACTTGAAACGTCTTTAACCCTAATTTGCACATAGTATAGAAAATATAAGTAGCTATTGAAAATGTAGTAAAAGTTGTTTTTTATTATCAAGTGGAAATTTGGAATCCAATTTTTAAAATATTTGTCTAACAAGACAAAACTAATATAATCCACGCATAACACTGTACATTTACACTTATACTATCTTGACCACATAGTTTTTGTGGAAAACAAAGCTAATTTGACTTTGACGTTATTGAAGAGATTGCCAGATTATTTTACTCTTAAAGTTTTCTCTCAAACAATTTGGTAAGTAGATTGTAACCTTAAACCCCTTTTGATTAATTTGAGGGTCTTGAGAAAGTGAGGAGAATCATGGAGACATTATTTGGGGCTATGTTATTAAACCCTTAATTGGAAATTTCACTAACTCCATCCCCTTAATTCTCCCATAACCCAGATGAAAGGTATTTATTTTATTCCCAACAAAGGCATCTGTAGCTTGTGCTGCCCTGTCTATATTAGTGAATAGGTCTGGATAGAGATTATTTAGGAACACTACAAAGAATGAGTAAGGTAAAGTACTGGTCAGAAAAGATAAAAGTAATATCGCTATGTGAAAACTCCTAGGCAAAGAGAAGGATTAATACGTTGGAGAAAGTTCTATATTTTTTGTTTTATTCTAGCATTTTTAATGTAATGTTTTAACATGGAATGCGTATGCTCACTAAAAAATAAAACTTGGACCTGCAAGTTATGCCATTCATTACTCACGGCTTTATAATTGACAGGCACTTGGGGAAGCATTAAAAATTAAAGAACCTTGTCAATTTTACAAACTACAACACTTTCGGAACTCAAATAACAACATTACAGATTTAGTTTTTACTTTTTAACAATCTCCAGGTTCATCTGTCCTTTCTTTCAGCTGAAGGTTGTATAGAAGGTGAAGAGGTGGAGTAGTGTGAAACTTAACTACAAAATGAAAAGTTTAATTGTTGTGTCACTTGACTTTTAATGTTTCTAGTGAAAATGGCAGGTTTCTTGTACTGTTCAGAGTGAAGGAAGCTGGAAAACTAGAACCGACAGTAGTAGCAATGTTGAGAGCATGCAAATTTATTTGGGGAGGTGGTGGCTAAAATTCATACTATTTTTATAATGATTTTTATTTATATCTAATACTTGTAGGAATAGGGACTATATAGCACATGTCTTATTTTTCTCTCTGAAGCCCTAAATCACTAATAGAAAATTTTTTAAAAAAATTTAAAAAGTTTTTAAAAAAGGTTTTAAATGCAAAATGTTCAACTCAACATTTTAAAGTTAAGAACAGAAGACTTAATAAGTATCCCAAACGTATAAATTGGGTATAGCTCTTCAATAACTTAGGTGTTGAAGTCCTAAAAGACACTTGTACATATGCACTAGAGTTATTCTCTGCCTGTTTTTTTAACTGTCTTGATTGTCCCTATAGATTGGACCATGCATTCCTCATCTACTTGTACCACTTCTCACTTATGTGCTTTATCAGTAAAATTTACCAACTAGGTTCCTTCTTTCTGGGTCCTCACTAGATGGTGTTTCTCCTTCTTTTACTGTTTTGCCATTTCTGAAACTTCTGAGATTCTCTAAGAATGTGTGTCTGTTTAGGATGTTTATGAAAACTTTACTGCTTGTTATAAATGGAAAACTATTCTTTTGAATTACAGTGGGGCCAGGATTTGATCATTTTTTAGACCCATTACTACTGACTCACTCACCATTTCCCTCATCCTCCACTGTGGTGAAGGAGCACTCATTCCCATCTCTAAATGTAAATTCAGGTGGTTTGTTTTTGATGTGTTTTAGTGACGCTGCTCTCAAGAAACGCAGAATCTCACTCAGCCCGAGATCCCTACTCCTAACCTCCCACTCGGAGCCCTTTTGTGCATCCTCTCTCGTCCTTGTATCTCCTTTCCCATTGCCGCTGCCTCCCCCCTTCTCAGTGCTGGCACCGTTCACGGACCTCCGCTTCCAGCCTTCCTCCTCCAGTGTAGCCACACTGCTATTCTGAATTGTTCCTTCAGTTATGCTGTGCTGCTGCTTAAATGCTTTAAGTTTCTTTCTCTTCCTCCTACCGAGCAAAGCCCAAACTTCTTACCCGGGACAGCAAAGATCTTTTCTTTGAAGTCTCAGCTACATTTCAAGAGCCCTCTCCTCCCATTCTGTAGTCTGTATACACAGTACTCTCCTCACGCATGCTTTTGCACACTGTTTCTTTTGTGGAAAATGACTTTCCTTCCATTTGGCAAATTTCTGCTTCTAAGACACTGCACCTTCCTTCAAAAGGCTTCTATCAACCACAGAAGCCAAATTACATGCTCCTGTCTCTTTGTTGCCTTAGGACCATGTTTATACTTTTGATTTGTACACCGATTTTGTAGTTATTATTGGTTTATCTGACTTTAAACTCCATTTGTTCTGTCTTTTGGTTTTCCATCTGTCTTCCAATGTTTATTTCTCCCTAGTCCCTAGCATTTGATTATTGGTTTGCTTATTTATTTATTACAAGCTAAGTGGTACTTAGTAATTATTCTTTGACTGAATGGTTATCAAATTATAATGAAATTATAAATTATAATCAAGGTTTCCAGATAAGTAAGATTTTATTGAGTTGAAAGTTGCAATCTGGTCAGTCCTGCTATGTCCTCTCAGTGGAAGGCACGTATTGATGGAGGATCTGATTGGCATGTGTTCTAGAAAAGGATCTTCATAGTTTGTTGGTATGTTAATGATTTACTTAGAATGAAAGCAGATTCAGTTATTTGCTGGGTGCCTGTCAGTGCACCAGGCACTAGCCATAAGCAGAGAACGAGACGAACATGATTCCTTTTGTCACTAAGCTAAAAGCTTGAGCAGGAAAAGACAGCACAGCTGAGTAAGTAATGACAATATCTAGTAAGTACCTAAAGGGAAAAATGATGCATCTGACTAATGTGGAGTAGAGAGAATGCTTCTAAAAAGTACTGTTGATTTAAGTCCTAAGGGATGGATGAGGGATAGCCAGGGATGGTTTAAGCAAAAGGGCTTGCATAAACAAAGTCTTGAGAGGAAGGCCATTTGAAGGAAATTCACCAAAACTAGCCCACTGAGTGTGTGTCATGAGGTGTGAGCGGAGGGAATGGTGGTTCAAGGTCCCATGGACAGTTTGTATTGTGTGAAAAGGTAAGTAGCAGATTATCTAACCAGATTTGACTCTGAAGCATTTATTTTAGTGCTGTTTTATGGTGAATGAATAAGGTGCCAAGACTAGAGGCAAACAGACCATTTAGGAGGCCATCACAGTAACCTCTGAAAGATATAATAAGGGTGACTCGGTTTATGATGACAGTGGAGATA